CCCCCCCCCCAGCCCTCTTTCCCAGGAGCTGTGCTTCCATGCTCCTGGCCTCCTTCCTTCAGCTCAGGACATGCTATCATTTAGTCTAAACTGTGAATCCCGGCGGGGTGTCTGGGTGGGGGCCCTGGCCCCAGCCCTGTCTATGGATTTCAGCAGAGAGCCAGGCCCCTCTCCGGCTGCATCTGGCTGGCCGGGGCAGGGCCCGGGCCAGTGGCCTTCCAGCATTGGCCCCTGCATCTCTTCTCAATGCACTTTAATAATGTAACATACTACTAATAAACAAGCTATTTATTTACCTGTGCTTTCTCCTTGCTTAAAAAGCTGTCCTGGACAGGGTTGGGAGGGGGGCTGGGGTCTCCCATTTATTACTCAGCTCAGTGCCTCTGCTTGCTACAAATTCACGTGTTGAACCAAAACCCACACCAACCACACTCCCTGCTACCCAGCTGGTTCCGACTCACAGCGACCCGACAGGGCACAGTGGAACTGCCTCGTGGGGTCCTGGGACTGGAGCTCTTTACGGAAACAATGCCTCATCTTGCTCTCCGGTGGGTTCAAACTGCCAGCCTTGTAGTTAGTGACCAGCCCATAACCCACTAGGCCACCAAGACCCCAGACGAGGGAGCTTCAAAAGCTTGTGGAAAAATCTCATGACCTTCCAATCCCAGTTTTCCACGAACCTTTTGAAGCCCCCTCCTATAGAATCCAGGGTCCTCTGAACAGCCATGCCCGGAAGGGGTTCTTTCTTCTCTTGTGATAGTTACACCTTGGCTGGTCCAAGTGGTTGAACATTTGACAACTGCAAGGTTGGGGGTTCGAACCCACTCAGAGGTGCCGGGGAAGACAGGCCTGCTTCAGGGAGATCACAACCTTGGGAACTTTCCAGGGTGCAGGTCTGCTCCGTACACTGAAGGCCCCCGTCCACGGCGTCCAGGTCTGAAGCCACCGCTCCCAGGGGGAAGGTGGGAGGGTGTGTATGCCCACCTGGGACCTTGGCTTTTCAGCCCCCAGGCAGTGAGGAGGGGGTGGGAACTCTTGCTCCTTCCTTCACTACCTTGCTCCTGTGGGGTCGGCCCCTCTCTTAGTGACCACATCGGTTTTGCATCCAGAAGGACTTGCCAGCCTTGAGGTTGGGGTGGGCAGTTCTGAGTTGGGAAGCTCTTCAGGGGTGGTGGTGGCCAGACTAGGGCAGCAGCTTTGGGATGAATGGCTGGATGGTGGAAGTGGAGGGATTTCCAAGGGGAACCCAGCTGTCCTCTCCCCTCCTCTCCCCTTCTCCTCAAACCCTGGCTCTGCTTGCCTTCCTTACAGTCTGTGTTAGTCTGGGTGCTTTAGAGAAACAAATCCACAGAAACTCATGTATAAGAGTTTCCTATAAAGGGTAAGTGCACATCAAGAAACCATCCCAACCCAGTGCTGCCCAAGCCCACAAGTCCAACATTAACCCATATGTCCAACACCAATCCACAAAGTCCTCTTTCATAAAACACACACTATGATGCCGACTGCAGGAGGAAAGCCGAGTCAGTGAACGTGTAAACGTGTAAACATCTCAGTGCTGGCAGGGGTCTCCACACGGCTGCTCCAGCACCCAGGGCTGCATCGGGGTAGGTCCATGTGGCTTCTCCTCGGGGATGTCTTGCAGGAAGTGAGCTTTGCCAGCTGAAGCAGGGAACTGCTAAGGCAGCTGAACCCTGGTCCGACCATCACAAAGCAAGAGACCCGAGAACTAGAAAGGTGAGGCTCACTGAGCCATTTAGCCCTCCGTCCTTTAATTAACCCCACATGTGTTTATCGGCCAGGTTGGCACAATAAACTAACTACCTCACAGTCCTTAGGGGCTTGATTGCTGGGAGTCTTTTCCTGAGCAGAGATGCTGGATTGGGGTGGTGGTGGTGGTGAACTTGGGGTAGTTCTGTTGTCTGAGTCTTAGTTTAGCTTTTGGTCAGGTCTCAGGGACCCCCAAAGGTTATGCTAAGGCTAGAGTCACCCCCGACCCCAGCCAAGCACCTCCCTTGCTCCTCCAGCCTCCTGCATGTCCCTGGACCCCTCTCTTCTCCTCTCCCACCCTGCTTCCCTGGGGACCAGAAGAGCAGTAGGTGCTCAGGAGTTTGGGGTCCAGAAGACCCCTGGGCTGTGGATAGAACATTAGTCTGTGAGACATCGCCTGCCCTGTGTGGTCCTGGGCCACCCCTAGCCTACTCTGAGCCCCGTTCTGTAGGCCCCTCCTGTACATCCGTACATCGCTTCTGAGTTGAGTCTTGGAGGGTGTGTGGTCTGTGTCTCTGTCCGTGTCCCCCTCACCCCACTCCCAGCTCAGGGGACCCTGGTTGGTGACAAACGCATAGGCAGATGCCATCAGAAAGGCTGTTGGCTCAAGCCCCCAGCCCCACCTTGATTGCTGGGTGAACTTCACTGTGCCCTTGCCCCCTCGGGACCTTGGCAGCTTCTCTCTTTCCTGTGGGGATGATCTCCGTGCCCCTACCCCACCCCCACCCCCTGCGCACCCAAGTGAGGAGATGGAGGGAAGTCGTGTGCACTGAGGCCTGAAATGAGCCCTGTAAATCCCATGTAAATGAGGCTGCTGGGAGGCAGAGCCCCCCGCTCTGGGTTTCTACCCCATTTCCCCTTGATGGGCAGTCAGCCAGCACGCAGGACCATTAGGCCAGGTGGGGGAGGGTCTGCTGCCTGCACCCTCAAGAGGGTGGAGGAGGAGGAAGAGGACAGAAGGGGAAGACCCCACCTCAGCTCCCCTGTGGAGCTGAGCAGAGATGGGAGCTCTCCTTCAAGCTTCCCCTTGCAACAATCTAAAGGTCACTAAGACCTTACCGTGTGTTTTATCACCTGTCCACATCCTGCAGCTGGCTGCTTCTTGTCTCTTTGTTGCACGAAACCATTGCACACGGATCCAATGTTCACAGCCCTCAGCAAGCCGGTGTCCTGCCTTCCCTCTCCTACCGGCTGGCTCTCTGCATTCGGCCATTGGCTTCTCTGTAGCCTTGGCTCCTGGGGGTCCCTCAGGTTTAGAAGGCCCTTGAATTCTCCAAAGGGCCCCTGGACCTTTCCTCCTGCCTGATGCCTTAGCCTGCCTGGTTCTGGGCTGTGGGGGCAGAGGGAGCCTTAGAGAGAGTGCATGTGAAGTCAGGCCTTGGGCAGGTGCTGGGTTCCCGGGAGGGAAGCCGACAGGGAGGCGGATGTGGCACTGGAGGGTCATTAAGCACAGATGGTCCTAGGTGAAGGTGGATGCTCAGAAGGGACACCTAAGCTATGGGCATGGGTGGGGCCAGGGAAACCCCCCAAGTAACCGAGGAGTGGAAGAGGGGTGTCCACGTGCAAAGGACTAGGGTGTGAAAGAGTCCAGCTGTTACACATGTGGCTGGAGTGAGGGGCCCCCTGTAGCAGGTGCTCTTCCAGTTTGCTCACAGCTGTATCTCCAGCACCTAGAACAGCAGGTGTGAGTATTCGTGTGGAACAAGCACACTCGTGTTGAAGAGCACACTCGTGTTGAACGAACACATTCATGCTGAACAAACATCTTCATGTTGAACACCCTCATGTTAAAGAACATATTCATGTTGAATAAACATCATCATGTTGAATGAGCACACTTATGTTGAACAAACACCCTCATGTTAAATGAACACATTCACATAGAACAAACACACTCATGTTGAAGAACACAGTCATGTAGAATGAGCACACATGTTGAATAAACACACTCCTGTTGAAGACCACTCTTGTTGAAGACCACATTTGTGTTGAATGAACACATTCATGTAAAACAAGCACACTGATGTTGAACAAACACACTCATGGTGATGAACACACTTGTGTTGAATGAACACACTTGTATCGAACACATTCATGTTGAACGAACACATTCATATAGAATGAGCACACTTGTGTTGAATAAACACACTCTTGTTGAAGAACACACTCATGTTGAACAAGCACTCTTGTTGAAGACCACTCTCGTGTTGAAGAACACACTCATGTAGAATGAACACACTTGTGTTGAAGCACACACTCGTGTTGATGAACACCCTCTTGTTGAAGAACACATTCATGTAGAATGAGCACACTCGTGTTGAACAAACACACTCTTGTTGAAGAACACACTCATGTAGAATGAACACATGTTGAAGAACACACTCATGTAGAATGAACACACTTGTGTTGAAACACACACTCGTGTTGATGAACACCCTCTTGCTGAAGAACACATTCATGTAGAATGAGCACACTCGTGTTGAACACACTCATGTAGAATGAACACACTTATGTTGAAACACACACTCGTGTTGATGAA